ACACACACACACACACACACACACACACACACACACACACACACACCATGGAATATTACTCAGCTATCAAAAAGAATGAAATAATGTCTTTGCAGCAGCTTGGATGGAACTGGAGACCATCATCCTAAATGAGCTAACTCAGCAACAGAAAACCAAACACGGCCTGTTCTCACGTATAAGTGGAAAGCTAAACTAAGGGTCTGCGAAGACAAGGAGAAGGGTTTAATGGACCCTGGAAACTCAGAAGGGGACTGAGAAAAAGGGATGGAGGAACACAAAATCACCCGTCAGGTGGGCGCGGCGGATGCACTTAAAGCTCAGACTTCTTCACCACTACGCAATACAGCCATGCAACCAAAAAACTATTCATACCCCGTAAAGCTATTGAAACAAATGCTTTTAAAAGCAAAAAAATATAGCCAGGTATGGCAGCTCACGCCTGTAAGTCCAGCACTTTGGGAGGCGGAAGCAAGAGGACTGCCTGAGTCCAGGGGTTCGAGATCAGCCTGGGCAACTTGGGGAGACTTCATCTCTACAATAGAAAATATTTAAAAAAATTAAAAATTAGCCAGGCATGATGACACACGTCTGTAGTTCCAGTTCCTTGGAAGACTGAGGCAGAAGGATTGCCTGAGCCCAGCAGGCCAAGGTTGTGGTGGCCATGAGTGTGCCACTGCATTCCAGCCTGGGTGACAGAGTGAGACTTCAACTCCAAAAAAAACAATACACAAATACATATACTCCCTTACTAACTCTTCTGACACAGGTCTAGGGAAGGTCTGGTAACTGGTCATTTCTGAGCCACATGGCGGGCAAGTCATGTCTCAACAACTGTCTTTCTATGACCATCCTCCACCTCACACCTCCTGCTGACCACACCATGGCCTGTTGCCCACATCATATGGAAGGAAATGTTAAATCTCCATTCAAAGTCAGAAAAAAATGAAGGTGCAATCTTTTTCTCAACAAATTCAGAGTCCCCTTGGGGTTCTCTGGATTTCAGATTAAGAGTCTCTGCAAAAACCTTTTATCCAAACCTGTTCTCAGGAAAGAGCCTGAAAAATGCTCAGATGAAGGCAATAGCTCCCAAAATGTGCCGCCTACAGAATGACCGGGGGGGGGGGGGGGGGGATCCTACCTCAAGGATAATCGCGTGTGTGTCCCTGCTGCTTCTGATGTGCCGTATTTTTCCTGCCAGTGGATATTGGATTCACTGGAATGTACCCATCTTCTTCCGTTGATCACACTTGACGCAGAGACCACAACCCCA